TTTTTGTTATCGAGAGACGCGGCGCTGGGCGCTCGCGCGTCGTTACTTGGTTCCTCATTTGACGGGACGCTACTCGCGTCGTTCGGTTGATTCTCCGACACCATAGATGCGCCGGGAGGGTCTTCGTCGACGTCCATCTAGACGAAGAATTTCTAGGCGTCCTTATGCATGCATGCTCAGTAGATACAGGGAAATTGGCCGACCTCCGTTTTCCCCTGCGCAAGGCGTATAGTTCGAAAAGGAGGTTAAATAGGCACTCACCATCGACTTCTAAATCGGTCAGAAAATGTCGGAGAAATTCGGTCGGATGGTGTTGAGCCAGTCGACGCACACACACCCGTCGCCGCACCCCGCACGGTTTGGCGTCCCAGCGCCGCCGACCGAAGCCGGTGATACGGTGAGCTGCGTTCGTGCACGTCGTGTCTTCCAATGTTGATTGTTTCTCGTGAAGCTCGTCCAGGTCCTAGATTTTGGTGTCCTTCGAATCCTCGCAACTTGACAAAAAAGATGACGCACACTTCAAGTAGACTTGAAGGAAATCTCCGCTAGAAAGCGTTTCATAAAGCGGAGAGCGATGTGAGCACGTCCTCACCGCCCCACGCAACTTAGCGGAATTCTCTACTTCCAGAGTTCTTGGCATACGTAATCCAAGTCGAGCTGTCGATGAGCGGGGGGGGGGCGCTTCGAGCACTCGATAGTCACGGACGCGCTCCACATCGCCTCCGTAGATTTTCTGCTATTTCTGCGGACATCCACCCTGGTACCCCGGAAACTTGGGTTTATCGTCACCGCCAAGTTCTCTGCTTCGCCAAGACGCCTAGACACCACTGTCATCCAGGTGGGCCCAGTTTTGACAACTTGAGGGACGTCCTTTCCTCCCGGCTACAACGCCGCCTCGCTAGGGGCTCTCAGCCCGGCGATGGCGGCCGCTAACGTGGTTACAGGCTATGATCCTACCTCAAGCAAAGTACTGTCCATGGAGATTTCATCCTCCGCAAACACTATGCCATAAGAAGACGAATACCTCGACGACATGGTGAGACTGTGGCAACACAAGCAAGCGAAATTGATGTCTGTGTCTCTACAACAACGAGACGCCACTGCTGGCCGCCATTCCCCAGCTGGGAAAGAAACGCCAGCGCACTATCCCTCCGGTAGTGCCCCTACATCTGCTCCCTCCTCGCAGCCAGCGAAGCAACGCAAGTGGCGTCCGCGTGAGACTCCTCGCCTCTCTCGCAATAACTACATCGTAGTAGTGAATCCTCGCGTTCCCTGCAAGCCACGCACATTCGTCCCGGCCGATCGCGTGGGCGACGCCATCCGCAACTACCTCGGCTACTGGACCACCACGCAAATTCAAGTGTGGCTGATCTGGGAACAAAACATCTTCGTCTGTAGCACCACCATTTTGCCTATGGCACAGCGACTCCTCGGAGACTTCCTGCTGCAAGTGGTGTATCAGCAGCTGCCCGTTTGAGGCCACGCCAAGGCACCAGGGAATACGTGCAAGGGCGTCATCAACTTAAACCCTGCTGAAAGCCCGGAAGATCAAGTCAGAACTGCATTGGCCTCGAGGTACTATCCTCGCAGTCCGCAAACTCGGAGATTCCGCGGCGGTGGTGGTGACTTTCGAGGGAACGAAGTTACCCCGCTTCTTCTACCACTGCGTGGCGACGTATATCCGCGCATACAAGAAAACGGTCCCTGTTTGCACCAAGTGCGGTACCATCGGTCATCGACCACCGCAATGTCCTCACCCCACTCCCACCCAGTGTGCCAAATGTGGGACCCCCGCACCTGCAGGTCTCAATGCCACGACTGCCACCCCAAGTGCCTCCTCTGCCATGACGCCCACGAGACTGGGATTAGTGGTTGCACGGCAAAATAGCGGAAACGCAAGCAGCCCTCAACATCTCCTCGAGGGACTACATCAACTTTGTCACAACCAGACAGCGGAGCCAACCTTCATCAGTCGGCTACACCGTTCCACGCCGATAGTCAGGCGTTCCCACCGCTCGACGCATAAGCGGCGGTAAGTCAGGTGAGCAGTTGGGCAGGGAATGCTGCTTCTAAGCCTCTCTCACCCCCTTCTGTCGATCCTCCTTCTCCCGAACTTGCAGCCCTTCGCCAGCACGTTGCGACGCTTCAAAGGCTAAATTCTCTTTTAACTAAACAACTTGAACTCTTAAATAAGCAACTTCAACCCCAACAACATTGTATGCAAGGCCATCCGGTATTGCCTCCTCTGTCCAGGTGGCTCCGCCAGCTACGTCCAAGCTTTGTGCTCGCGCTAAGTCCACTCCCCTTAAACCACCGGTTCAAGCAGCGATGCGTACTCCAGCACTCGGAACCGGTGCCTCATCTACTCTTGAAGCTCTTGAGGCTCCTGGGGTACCTCAGGTTCTCTTGCCCGCTAACCAAATTCTCCCCAGCGAGGAGCGCGCCGCGCATAGAGGAACGCGTTACGCGCGTCGAAGCTTCGATTAATTCCCTCCTCACTAGCTTCTCTGTCCAACGCATAGTAGCAGAGGTTACTCAGGCTGTTCAAGCCTGAGTGATCACTCAGTTTCAACCCAAGGCATCGCGTTCCCGCTCCTGCTCGGTGAGCAGTGAGGATGCAGCTCCACGGCGTCATCGTAAGGTGGCTACACCACCCCGCCGTCCGGACAATCCGGCCTCCGTGCCCCTCCCTGCCTCTGAGGATTCCGAGCGGGACGTGGAAGACCAAATCTAAAACCTAAGACAGTCACGATGGCTACCAACCGTACATCTGTCCAAATATTGCGTCTAACATTCGAGACCCATACAGTGTGAACCTAGAGGCTTCGGGAACAGGCGAAAGCGTTCACATCTTTTCCTTTTCGCAGCTCATTGGCCTCTCAGCCGGCCCGTCTTGGCGCTCCAAGAATCTGGCCCTGCTCCATACCTTTCTGGATACTGCTCCTATGTAGGCGGCACCACCACATGCCTCCTCGTGCATAAAAGCTTACACGGCGATACAGATTGACCTCGTTCTGGATTTTCCTTAAGACTACTACATGATATCAGTGCTTGTCTCAGTGGAGGGGCCAACTATCATCTATATCTTAACATGTACTGTCCCTCTAGCCTTACGAGGGCTTCGTTTGCGCATCTCTTCCATCGGGCGCTGCACATAGCGGCCCGACAACCACTGGTGATTGTCGGGGACTTTAATGCCCCCAGCCCTTCCTGTGGTTACCACTACGAGAAGGCCCGGGGCAGAGAGCTCAAGAAGTTCATTTGCTCGCTGAACCTCACGCTTCTTACCATCCGGCACAACCCACACGTTCCGGCAACTCGGTCACGCGAGACACATGCCCCGACCTCCCCTCACCCGTCACATCCGCGATGCTACATGAGAAAACTTAGGCGAAACCCTAGGCAGCGATCACTTTTTACTCCGCATTTCGTTCACACCGCGGCAGAAATGCGCCATCACTGGGGCCAAGCCCGTCTCATCGACTGGACTCAGTTCAGAATGCTACCATTCCCCGCTGCCCTCTAGACCGAATATGCAGCGTGGGCATCATACACCCTCCATATGAAACAAACGAACACTCGCACCGTTGCAACCTCTAGTTTGACTCCTGCAACCGATGCACAGCTCCTACTTGTTTGGCACGCTCGCCGCGGACTCGTAAGGCGCTGGAAACGCCACAAACTCAATCGGAAGCTTCGCGCTCGCATTGAGGCGCTCACAGCAGAGGCGGCCGCATACTCTGCACAACTTTCCGATGCTAACTGGGCAGACACCTGTTTGAAGGCTGCAAACCAGATGAGCTCTAAAAGCGCGTGGCGACTCTTTCGAAGCATTCTCGATCCCTCCACCACCAGGGGAGAAACGCAACGTTAGCTCAGCCGTGCTCTGCATGCCTTTCAGGGCATTATGGATCAACTCAAGCGAGAACTTTGTGAACGCTACATCTGCCGCAAAATTGATCCCGCAGGCCCAGCATATACGTATTCCGGCGCCCCTAACACCGACCTAGACGCCCCATACACGCTTTCCGATTTACGATTTGCACTCATGAAAATGCGACGGGGCACGGCCCCTGGACACGACGGAATCACAGTATCGCTCCTGGCAAATCTTCCCGACCAAGCACACCTCTCGTTACTCCAACTTATAAATTCGATAGGGGACGGCTCTCCACTTCCAACGGAATGGACCACATCGGTCATGATATTCATACCCAAATCGGCAAAGTCCGTTAGTATCGAGGCACTGAGACCCATCTCACTTACGTCTTGCGCAGGCAAACTCACGGAAACCATGGTTCGCGAACGCCTTTCTGCCTACCTGGAGGCCAGGAGGACCTTTGCCGACACAATGTTTGGCTTTCGCCCGCATCTGTCGGCGCAGGACGCCGTGCTCCAGCCTCAACACGATATCATAGAGCCGACTACTATGCGCCATAACGATAAAGCCGTGCTGGTTCTCGATCTCCATGGCGCGTTCGACAAAGTAAAACACAGCACTATACTCACTAACCTGCCTACCACAAACTGCGGGCAGAAGACTTTCAACTACATTCGCGCTTTTCTATCACATCGCAACACCTTCATTCGCCTCAATTCTACCGAACTCGGCCCGTACTTATTAGCCACGTGGGGTACACCTCAAGGGCAATCCTCTCTCCTCTGCTTTTTAACCTGGCGATGATGAACCTCCCCTCTCTTCTAAGCGAGGTCGAGGGAATACAACACGCACTATATGCGGACGATAGCACAATCTGGACCAACACCGGCTCCTTAGCGCAAATCGAAGAACGCCTGCAAAAGGCTGCCTTTCTGGTGGACACGTACGCTGGTTCATGCGGCCTGGAGTGCTCTCCAGCTAAATCGGCTCTTCTTTCAGTCTCTCCGCTACCACTACCTCAAATTTTTTCTTGCTTCCGGGCCTGTCCCGTCAGTTAAAAGTATTCGGATTCTTGCCCTTCACCTCACATCGTCCTTGGATCCCAAGGGCACAATTGCAGGCCTCCGAAGCACCAGCAAACAGGTAAGCTGCATGATACGGCGGGTATCTACCAAGCGTGGTCGCCTCCACGGCTCTCAGTCCCTCCGATCGGCCCATGTGTTTGTCACCAGTCGCGTCCTCTACGCCTCGCCTTACCTTCGCCTGCGTCGTCGACACGAGCACCAGCTGGACGTCCTTCTTCGTTCAGTATACAAACGCGCTCTAGACCTACCTATTGCAACTTCCAACAGCCTATTTGCAGCTCTGGGGGTACAAAACACCTTTGCAGAGATGCGCGAAGCTCATCGCGTTAACCAAATCAATCGGCTGTCGCAGACGCCTTCAGGGTGCCGTCTTCTACACAGACTTGGCCTTAACCCCATATCTGACCAAGACTCTCTGCAGCCGGTACCAGAGCTCTGGCGTCAAAACTATGGGTGGAACCTCGACCCCGTAATGTGAACCCCGACCTACATCCTGGCCGTAGACTAGCACGCGCGGCGGCCCTTCATACGCGACACTCCGATCATCCTGGTGTTTTCTACGTGGACGTTCGGGTCCCCCCCCCTCGGGTCCCTTCACGGCGGCCGTGATTACAGAGGGCAAACACGTCGATGGCCTCTCCTTTCGAGCAGACACAGTAACGCACGCTGAAGAGGTTGCCATAGGTTTGGCCTCCTCTCACCCTGCCTCACGCACCATCCTGACGGACTCGCGCTCGGCCTGTTCTCAGTACCTTCAGGGTGTCATTGCCCTGATGGTGGCTCACCTACTTCAGGCAGCCTCTTGGTGCTTTAACCCTCATCCCATTCGTATGGTCTGGACCCCAGGCCAATCGGGCCTGCCCGGCAACGAGGTGGCAAATGCCGCTGCCCGCGCTTCTCCTGTCCGGGCCGTTCACAGCTAATCCTGTGAAGCGGAAACCGCATCCGGTTTCGCGTGGCGGGAAAATCGCGCTCGGACCGATTTTTGCGCACCTGCTGCGCGGCGTCATTTTCCGGCCGCTCGGGTGGCGGAACGAACCAGTATCCGGTTTTGTGCCTCTGGTTTGTTTCAGGTAGGGTTGAGTTCAACGCCCAAGCATGTGCCCTTCAGCAAGACGAGAATGGCGTCGTCGTGGGTGTCATCGACGGCAGGGAGTTCCAGGCAAGTTCAACAGCGACCCGACCAAAGGTTATATTCTCGAAACCACATTGTTAACAAGTTCTTGACGCAATGGCCAATACACATGCTTGGACTACTATAAAAGGTCTGAACATTGTCTTCACTGTAAATCTAGCTTTTCAGTCTGACCGTAGCTTTCGCAGGGAGTATACTCCGAAGGCATTCGAAAAATGGCTTAATTTGTGCTTGAGCCTTTTGAGAGGCACTTTTTTATTTTTTATCTCAGATCACGTTGCCCACGCAGTGATGTGGCTCCTCACTTAGTGTAACCTAACTTATAGTCTAACAATATTGCAGGCTGATTACGTCATAATGGCAATCCCGCCGCCCCTACAGCTGAAAATTCATTACGAGCCTCCGCTGTCGCCGCTTCGAAACCAGCTCATACAACGTACGCCGGTTGGTTCGGCGTTCAAGATGAACATTTATTACCCCAAGCCCTTCTGGAGGGAAGCAGGTATGCACAGACACGTTAGGATAAACCATTACTATGTTGCCGCTTTTCAGAATAAAGTTTCATTGGCATTGAATGAATGATATGTGGTGCCAACATAAACAAGATTCCAGCGCGTACAACAATGCGAGTAAAATACACGAACTGTTGAAAGGAACGTAGACACATGCCCAGCGCAATGGTGCACCAATACTGCCGTTATCAACATGTCCCAAGTACGAACATTACTCAAGGTTTAGAGTGAAGGTACAATATTAAACGTGAAGATATAGCATATGGTTAGGGTTAACATGTAAAAAGGTTCAATATGTAAATAATGAAGTTCTCTTTCAACTAAAGGTGTAAACGTTTGTTCCATTCCGTGTATGTACACGTGTCAATTACACAAAATGTGACAATTCGGTGATGAGGGTGGGGGGGGGGCGTTGAGCGTGGCAGTCAAATCCACCAAGCCACCCTCCTGGGTAGCGCCACTGGTGCGAGACGCCAGCAGTAAACGTCTGTGGTCGTTACTTTCTAGCTCTGCAACTAAGCAACGTAGTCTGAATGCAGAGCTATATATTAAGGCAGGGTTAACGTTCAAACGGGGCCATCTTTCGAAGGGGAGAACTTGTCAGAACACAATCATGAGTCCTCACGTAACACTGACCGCCCCTTCACCTGTTTCAAAGGTTGCTCGTTTCCTTCTAATAAGGGAACGAACTCTTGACACGCATTGTTCGCATTATACTAATGAAAATTGCGAAAAGCGAGGGTGAGCTAGCAGTGGACACAACATATCTTAAATTAGTTCGACTGATAGCACGAGGAACGCGGAAACGTATAGCCGGACATGTCAAAATTACGTGCATTGTCAAAGGAAACATCAGCTTTGTGTACTATCTCTTTTGCATTTGACAGGTTACGGTGGAATAGCATCCTGTGCCGACGACAGCTTAGCTTTCAACATTACCACGGACGACTGCAGACCTGGATTATCCCTGGCGGCCCTCACAATGTAAGGTCAACTATCCTTCTGATTTCGATGGCAATGACATAACGCATAGGAATCGCAAAACCTTTCATGTGCCATGAGTGTTCTTTCTCGCGATTACGTTTTGCTTTCAGTGACTGTCACAAAACGAGCGCTCAAAAGGGGCGCGCCGCCAAATTCTAGCGACGAAACGCCGGAGTGACGCCGCGAGGTCAACGATAAAAAAAAAAGAAAACAAGCATCCAAAGACTCCCCGGGCACGCGTCCTTCTCCCCTCAGAAGCGTGGGTTCGCCGACGAACCTCCTCTCATCGGCGCCCGAGCAAGCCCTCGAATGTTCTAGATGGAAAGGGGGTGTGGTGATGCCGGGTTGCGGTCATCCGTCGCGGACGGCCTTCGAACCGTCTCGCCCTTTACCCCAGCCTTCGCTGCGCATCGCGCCGACGAAATGATGAGAACTTTCTGGAATCTCGCGCGGAAGATATTCAATCGAGCAGCCGAGATGAGAGAATCAGGAGAAGACGGAAGTTAGCGCCAGAGCGCGTAGGGATTCCGCCGTGTAGTGGCGAAGGTTTTGTCCGTAGTGACAAAACAGGAGAAGAAGAGGATTTCCCCCTGAGGGGTGAAGGCTCGAGCTACAGGCAAGAGCGTGTGTCTACCGCTATCGAGCGAAGACACGTGGCAACAGCTGCGTGTGTGAAGCTGACGTGTTTCAGGCGAAGAAGTTTGAAGCTTGGAGAGTGGCCAATTGAAGACGCGAGGTTTCCTGGAAGAGAAACTTCGGGGGTGAAGACGCGAGGTTTCACTGAGCAACACAGATACAGAACGTGAAAGGATAGCCGTGATTCCATACATACACCAGATATCACACAGGCTCAAAAATATCGGAAAACGTGTTGGAGTTCGTGTCCTGTTCTCGGCACCGTTCAAATTAATCAGCCTCACCAAATCTACAAACCCCCTGAAAACGCAATCATCAACGGAATGCAGAGTTCAACATAGAAACAGGTATGCGGCCTGCTCCCGGGAAGTTGTCTATAGGACCCCCCTTTCATGCGGTGCTTGTTATGTCGGAACGACCGGAAGGTGTCTGAACGATCAGCTGAGAGAACATGCGAACAATGTTAAAACGGGAAAGATGGTTTTCTTGCTCAGCACTGCACTGAGTGCAATTGTGTTCCCCTCTTCAAGGACACAGCGACGCTGTACAAACACAGAGATGAAAGCACCCGAGTCATTGTCGAGGCCACGCAGATGGCACGCGAACGGGTGCCTTGTATTAGCAAGCCCTCCGTGGCTTTGTCCGAGAGGGAACGCAGGTTCCTCGATGGTTTCGGTGCGGGCAGGTAGTTAGTTATATTATCTTTACCTTTCTTTTTCGTTTTCTTCTAGATTTTTCTTTGCGGTTTTTGCAGTGCTTTTGTTTATGTTGTAACGGGGTTTATTTGCAGCGCAGAACGCAGAAAGCGAAGCAGTGAGCAGCGTCCGGCCAAGCGCAGCAAGCACGAGCTTATGCTGATGGCGATGCCCCTGATGCGCCGAGAAATGCCGCTGAAGCTCCTCTTCTTCGCTACAATCGCCCTCCGCACAAAAAGACGCCATCCTGGCGGATTAAGGAGAAGAAACGACTGATGGGTCGTAATATGGCTTGAGACGAGAGACGTGGACAGTGTCGCGGCCGCGGTAGCGTAGGTCTGTGGATGGGATGATGGGCTCCACGATATAGTTTGACGAGTGACGTTTGCTCTACAACGCGGTATGGCCCGATGTAGTTGGGAAGAAGTTTTGCGGAGCGGCCAGGCGCGGTAGCAGGTGTCCGAAGCCATACTAATGAACCAGGTGGAAAGTTTGGAGCCGAACGGTCCCCAGTCTGGCGGGATTGCTGCTGCCACTGGTCCTCGGTAGAAAAAGAGCGGGTAAGCTGGCAGCATTCTTCAGCATGTCGGGCAGCTTCGGACAGAGTTGTACTTTCGGACTCATAAGGTTTATATGGAAGAATAGTATCTACTGTATTTGAAGGTTCTCGTCCGTACAAAAGAAAGTATGGCGAAACCCAGTAGTAGCTTGTACGGCAGTACTATACGCGTAGGTGACGAACGGGAGAACTTGGTCGCAATTTGAATGATCAGAGGCGACGTACATTGACAGCATACTGCCAAGAGTACGGTTGAAGCGCTCCGTCATGCCATTTGTTGAGGGTGGTACGCTGTACTTGTGCGGTGCACGATTCGGCATTCGTTGAGTAATGCCTTCAAGGCGTCAGAAAGGAAGGCATGGCCTCTGTCACTTAAGAGCTCGCGAGGGGCACCATGACGCAGAATGAAACGTTGCAACAGAAACGTTCCAACGTCACGGGATGTGGCAGTCGGCAGCACGGCTGTTTCGGCATAGCGTGTCAGATGGTCTATCACAACAATAATCCAGCAATTACCAGCTAGAGTTGATGGTAGTGGTCCGTAAATGTCAATGCCGACGCGATCAAAAGGTCGACTAGGACAAGGAAGAGGTTGTGACGGGTAGACTTGCCCGGGAGGTAACTTTTGTCGTTGGCACTGAGCACACGAGCGAATGAATTTTCGCACGTAGTTATACATTCCACGCCAATAAAATCTGAGTCGAAGCCTAGCGTATGTCTAGAAGAGGCCGGCGTGGGCGCACTGTGGGTCCGCGTGAAAAGCTTCGCAGATGGCAGCTCGAAGATGGCGGGGTATCACAAGGAGACACTTGCGACCGTCAGAAAGGTAGTTGCGTCGATAAAGAAGATCATCCCATAGGCAAAAGTTGCTAGCCTGGCGGCGGAGAGCGCGAGACGGCGAAAAAGTGAGAGGATCAGAAAGAATGCTTATGAGGCCACTGATCCAGGGATCCTTTCGTTGTTCCACTGTCATGTTGCGTAAGGCGGATGACGCAAGTGCAGGCTCGAGGGAAGAGAGGCAACATCTTCATCCGATATGGGTGAGCGAGAAAGGGCGTCGGCGTCCGTGTGCTTACGACCAGATCTGTAAATAACGCGGATGTCGTATTCCCGAGTTTGAGCGCCCAGCGAGCAAGTCGTCCGGAAGGGTCTTTAAGTGTGGATAGCCAACAAAGGGCGTGGTGGTCAGTGACGACGTCGAATGCGTGACCATACAGGTAGGGGCGAAATTTTCCAAGGGCCCAAATAATAGCTAAACGCTCTTTCTCGGTCACCGAGTAGTTAGCCTCGGCTTTCGTCAAAGTTCGGCTTGCGTAGGCGACGACATATTCATCAAACCCTGCCTTTCGTTGCGCGAGCACAGCGCCAAGTCCAACACCGCTGGCATCAGTATGAACCTCCGTGGGAGCGGCAGGATCGTAGTTGCGGAGGATGGGTGGTGAAGTCAGCAGGTGGCGTAATTTGGTGAATGCATCGTCGCATGCTGGTGACCAGGTGGAAAGGTCCTTGTCGCCGCTAAGAAGGTCCGTAAGGGGCGCACATACGGAAGCAAAATTTCTAATAAAGCGTCGGAAGTATGACGACAAGCCGACGAAACTTCTAAGTTCCTTCAAGTTCTTTGGCTTCGGAAAATCGGCGACTGCTCGAAGCTTGGCGGGGTCGGGAAGTATGCCGTCCCGCGATACGACGTGGCCAAGAATGGTGAGCTGCCGAGCACCAAAACGACACTTCTTGAGGTTGAGTTGAAGGCCGGCGTCGGTGAGACGTGTGAGGACGTGCTCGAGACGATTGAATGGGTGTCGAAATCGGTGGAAAAGACAACTACATCATCGAGGTAGCATAAACATGTGTTCCACTTGAGGCCTCGTAAAATAGTGTCCATCATTCTTTCGAAAGTGGCTGGAGCATTACAAAGGCCGAAAGGCATAACGGTAAACTCGTATAACCCATCAGGTATGACAAATGCTGTTTTCGGTCGGTCAGATGCTTCCATAGGAACTTGCCAGTATCCAGACCGTAAATCCAGTGAAGAGAAGTATTCTGCTCCCTGCAAACAGTCAAGGGCGTCGTCTATTCGCGGTAACGGGTAAACGTCCTTGCGGGTGATCTTGTTTAAACGTCGATAGTCCACACAGAACCGAATGGAGCCGTCCTTCTTAACAAGAACGACCGGTGACGCCCAGGGATTGTTAGAAGGCTGTACAATACCCCGCTGGAGCATGTCAGCAACCTGGTCGTCAATAACACGGCGCTCCGATGCTGAGACTCGGTAGGGGCGCTGCCGTAGAGGCGTATGACTTCCTGTGTCAATCTTGTGAGATATTTTTGATGTGCGACTTAGGCCAGTAGCGTGGCTGTCAAAAGAATTACGAAACTTTTGCAGCAGGTTCACTAACTGGCTTCGTTCTGAAGAAGACGTTGCGACATCGATGGAGCGGTGGAAAGCGTCAAGGAGTGACTGGTCAACAACAGAGTCAGAAATGAGTGCGCTGAGGTCCGTAGAAAGTAAACTAGATGGAGCGTAAAAAAATGTGACGGGCGTCGATCGGATGCACGTGACCGAGACTTCACCATAGAATAAGGTAGAGGCCCTTCTAGCGTATTGTACACGAGCGTCTTCGTGACTACATGGTGGAGAGTAAGGAGAGCAATGGCAGTGGAGAACATTTGCGTTGAATGAACAGGGCAGAGGGCGTGAATAAAACATCACCGTCGGAAATAGCGTCACACGACACAGTCACCAGCAGAGAAGAGCGCGGTGGTACGGTGGTGTCGTCGGAAACAAACAGTTTATAACAAGGCAGGGAGGCTTCGACAGCGTCAACATCAGGAAAAGCAGATAGCTCAAGTTCAGCGCGACAGAAGTCAATGACGGCATTATTATTCGCAAGGAAGTCCCAGCCGAGTATCATGTCATGGGAACACGAGGGCAGCACTACGAATTCGACGATATACACAATCCCTTCGATGACGACTCGTGTGGTGCAGGCTGCGAGAGGTGTTACACTTTGTGCGTTAGCCGTTCTAAGAGAGAAGCCGGATAATGGCGTCAGAACTTTGCGGAGTTTGCGGCACAGGTTGATGGGAAGGACGGATAGAGCGGCTCCGGTGTCAACAAGCGCCATGAGGACGATACCATCGACTGACACTTCAATGACGTTAAGCTGGACAGGAGCGAGGACTTGTGCTTGGCGACGGGGACGCAGTTCGTGCCTCGAAAACTGTGGCCGTTAGTTTTCCTGGTCGGTGGGTCCGGAACGGCGACGCATAGGGGAAAGCGAACGTCGACGTGGAGATGGGGAGCGGCGGGTCGGGCCGTGTGGACGATCAGAAGGAAAGGAAGAGGAAGGAGGGCTTGAAGGCGTAGAAGAAAACTGAGGGTCGAAAGAGGGCATTCGTCGAATGTTCTGAGCAGCCTGGCGACGACGACAATAACGTGCCACGTGGCCAACACCACCACAAGCAAAACATATGGGACGGTTGTCGTAGGTCCACCATTGGTCGGAGTAGACTCCGTCTTGCGGCTGGGGGGCAGAAAACTGCGGCCGAGGTGGTATCGGCATAGGCGGTGGTGAATAGGTCGGCGGTGAATAGGTCGGCGGCGAAAAGGGCGGCGGTGAATACATAGGCGCTGGCTGGAACGCAGGCTGTCGAGGTCAAGCAACGGCCTCGGCGTACGTGAGAGGTGCGGCGACTGGGGGCGGTTCATGGGCGGGAGGAAGAGCTTGTGCGACCTGGTCTTGAATGAAGTCGCGGAGTGTAGATGTCAATCTGCGTGGTTGATCGGGTACACAGGACATCAAAGAGAGCTGACGAGTGACCTCAGCGCGGATGAACTCTTGGATCTTGGAGAGAAGAGGGGCATGGTCTTCTCCTATGCCAAGGGTGGAAAGGCTGGACGAAGAGTCGTCGAGCACCGAGGGACGTCGGGTGGAAATACGTTGCCTGCGCAACTCGTCAAAACTCTGGCATAACTCAGTCAGTTCTAGTACAGTGCGAGGACTCTTAGAAAGCAACATTTGGAAAGCGTCGTCCTCAATGCCCTTCATGATATGCTTGATCTTAAGCTCTACGGACATCGACTCGTTGACTCGCTTGCAAAGGTCCAGAACGTCCTCAATATAGCTTGTGAAATTCTCACCAAGCTGCTGGGACCGAGTATATAAGCGTTGTTCGGCCCGGCGTTTGCGTTCCTCAGGCCGCCCGAAAACTTGTGTGAGGCTCGTTTTCAAGACCGGCCATGTAGGGAGTTCCGCTTCGTGGTTTATAAACCACAGCTTGGCCACGTCCGACAGGTAGAAGGAGACGTAGGCCGACTTGGCGGCGTCATCCTATTTGTTGTGAGTACTCACTCGCTCGTACATTAAAATCCAGTCGTCAACGTCCTTTTCTTCTGTGCCTGAGAAAACAGGGGGATCTCGCAGACACAGGGAACCGGCGCAGAAAACAGTAGGCGATGCCGGTGGAGGAGTTGGAGCGGCGCTTGCGTCGGTAGGCATAATGGATGGTAAAATGCGATTCCGAAGCTCCAGGGTGATCGAAACCCAGCAGAATCCACCACTTGTAACGGGGTTTATTTGCAGCGCAGAACGCAGAAAGCGAAGCAGCCAGCAGCGTCCGGCCAAGCGCAGCAAGCACGAGCTTATGCTGATGGCGATGCCCCTGATGCGCCGAGAAATGCCGCTGAAGCTCCTCTTCTTCACTACAATGTGTTGTTTGTTTTTGTTTTTCTTACTCATGTTCTGCTCTTTGTGCCATATGGTTTTTATCGCATGGTTACTGTGTCCTCTATATATTTTCGTGCTCTGCGCAATATACTCAGTTGGAAGTTAGCGCTCGTATTTTTCGTGTCCTTCTTGTCTCTGTGTCGTCATCTTGTTCTTGCGCTATAACTATCGTCATGCATTGTATTGCGCATTGTTGTCTGTGTCCGTTGTTTCGAGTGTGGCTGATTGTACTGTGTAGTACGTTGTTTGACTGGTGACATATTGTATGCAACTATTGTGGAGTGTGTATACTTGTGTATTGTTTTTTGATCTGCCATTATTGAGGATATAATTTTGTTTTGGTTATCAACTCTCGGCTCGGACTTGTTCTTTGGGCCACAGCCGGCGTCCGCTGGCGTGCCAAAAAGGACCACTTCTAAATTGTCCACGCTTTCGTGGTGCGGTTCGAGGGCCGACACTTCGGCCCTTGGAATTAGCCCGGCGATCGCCTCTCGAATTAACGAGACCTGTGACAGTGACAAGCGGGCGGTCGCTACCATTTAGGGTGGAAGGATTATTTTGTCTGAAGCCTTCTGTGCGGGATATGTCCAACAATGCATAACAAGCAATAAAACTGGAGAGTGAGTAGACCTCAGTCGTTTACACCGAGATTGGATCAGCAACCCAGGACCTCCAGCTGACTGTAATATATGATGCGTAGCGCAATTCAGTGTAACGATATTATATCTGTATATATCAGCTGTGTCACTGAAAACGAGCTCCACACGTGCAATTTATGGCACAGCGTTTGGTGCACTGCATCCTTGTGTTTGTTTATTTTTTGCCTCTTCTTAAACCGTTAATTTCACTGTCTTTGTGAGCAGATTTGCCATCGGTGACAAAGCCTTGAGGCTGCAGGAACTGCCGAAACAGGTCAGGCCCAAAGTCATCGCTGCAGATTTGGCGAGGGCCTTCGAACACGAAGCAGCCTACAACGTAAGAAATGTTCGTTAGCGCATTATGAAAGCAATTTTCTTTGCGGTTGCATCGCTTGAGTGCCAGTTGCGTTGGGATATGCAAAAAATTTTTCTGTTGCCGTACACTCTCTGCAGCCTGTACACTTCGAAGAGAAGAACTGGCTCGAGGAACAGTACTCGGGCGGTTGCTACGTGTCCACTTTCCCGACAGGGGTCATGAGCAAGTACGGAAAGTAAGAATGTCCGCGTTTATTAATCTCTTGTCTTGCGACTGCTCTTTGTAATTTTCTATGATCCTATTTTTTCAATAACGCTGTAACGATATTACAGCAAAAATATTGTTACTAAGGCCAATGTAATAGCCAGGATATGCTGACGTATAAACCGGGCGCCGAATGCACCTGTATTCACTTTAAAGGAACCAACAACCAATTTTTATGGTGGTTGTTTTCTTTAGCGCAATGGAAAGCTATACCGGTGCGAGAATGCCAGAATGGTAATGCAAGAAAAGCGAGGAAAGATTTATGTTGTAGAATTTTCGACCTTGGCGAATATGTAGTCGTGTACACACAACTTGTGCTGCAAACATTGGGAGGTGAGCGCGGGATCGGTACGTGTAAGTTTGTTCATGGCGGTTTGCTGTGCGTGGTGGTTTGATTTCCAAGTGACTCTGACCGCCCAGTCTTTCCCGACCCCCACCCCTCGAAAAAACATTGCAGCTGCTATGACCGGTACGTAATCGAACACGTACGTGCACTCCAGCTGAGCATAGTAACACGGACACATCCGTTTAGTCAGTGTGGCAGACGTAATTGAGCGATGGCGTGCTCCGCAGGACCCTGCGGGAACCGTTCGGCCGAGTGTACTTCGCGGGCACGGAGACGGCAACGGCGTGGCCTGGCTACATGACGGTGCTGTGCAGGCTGGCGAGAGGGCTGCCAGGGAGGTGCGTATTTTAAAGACGATAGTCTCTCGTGGGATAGTTGAACGCAGAAGTTTTGGTCAGTCTGCCAGTATTTATGTTTTTCTGTCAATCGATACAACCACCCGGCGAAAGCTTGACCTCTTGCTCAGCGCCCACCCACCTTAATCTCGTGCTGCGTTCATACCTGTGAACATTGTCAATCAAAAGGCAAGTTTGGCGCTTATTTGAGGAGCAATATCAATACTTCGGTATTAGCGTGTTTTTAAATGCGAACCATTTCTTCGCGTACTGCAAGCACTTTTCGCATCCCTAAATCATGCAGAGTGAATATGAGCAATGCTATTTCAATAAAAGTATTATTAAATGCGAAGTAATTCTTAGCGAACTTCGGCGACTTTGAGCGTATCTATCTATCTATCTATCTATCTATCTATCTATCTATCTATCTATCTATCTATCTATCTATCTATCTATCTATCTATCTATCTATCTATCTATCTATCTATCTATCTATCTATCTATCTATCTATCTATCTATCTATCTATCTATCTATTTCTGTCTATCTTCTTCTTATCTATCTAGCCACCTGCGTCTGGTGCTCTATGATCACCCCCTCCACTTCAGGTACACCAAAATTAGTACGGGAAGGCGAGATGGTTTGTCGAATACGACTCGCTGGTCATGCCGTGAATAATGTCGCAATCTCGTCGCGTACGTCGTCAAACACTTTAAAAGAAACGGTGGCACATACCCGGGGGTGGGTGTATACATATATGTGCCACTGGTATGGGGGTATGCGTGCCGCAGGTGATAGACATTTTATGTCTATCCAGGAACGGCGAGCGACATACATGGGTAACGTCAGCTGCTTGAGCGTCAATGTTTCAATTGGCACCATTGACCGTACGAATTCAAACAATAAATTCCAGTGTCCCAGCCGGAATCGAACTCCAGCTTTCCGCGTGGCAATCAAGCATTCCACCACAGAGCACGACAGGCCTCGGATATACTTTTCAAGATACACCCCATGCTTGTGACGACGTCAATTGTGGTTACAGTACAGGCTATTCGATTTTATAAACATTACATAGTACTCCCATGTCGGGTTAACGGGAATTGTAGTTGGGCGCCATCTGCTGAAGTTTACTCGTGTAGCAGTGTTGAGGGCTACCATCCTTCGCGCGCACCAGCGTAATACCAGCGCTGCATATCAGCTTATACCGCTTTTGGTGTTGCTAATATGCATGCTGCTGTTGGCATCGCTAAGTAACTGTAAACAACTGCCAATATAAAACATACGCGGCTGTTTAACATACGCGCGTGCATGTACTTGTACATATATTTAGCACCACTTCATAACGTCTCGCTCAATAAAAAAAATAAAACACATTCACCTTTCATTCGCATGCTTCGTATAACATTGATTCCCAATGTACCTGGGATTTGGCAAATTTTTATTTAGGAAATGTATAGATGCGTATTTCTAAAGACCACAGTCGCTTCACAGGCAATGCGACGCTTTGATCGAAAAAGCGGGTGTTTCGTATGGTGGGGTCTCGAAATGGCGAGCGCCGTGCTCTTGGAGGGAACGAGCACAGCAGACACAGTCGGTCCCAAACTTCACAACACATATGTTTACTTAACTACTTTGGAACGACGATATCGTCCGCCGAGTTATTATAGCATCAATCGTGATCAACACGCTAGGACATCCTTACACAATATTACCATACACTACAAAACATGACAAACACAATAACGGCGTCGCCAACGCTTGACTTACAACGAGGGCCCCCGACGCGCAACCCACGGTGCCGCGCGCCGGGGACCCACACTAAAGACCACCGTTCGCGGCAACCGCCACGCGCAGAAGAGACCAGCCTATTTCTCGCTCGCTGCTACCAAGGCTTTCCGCCAAGCGTGGCCGCAAGCGCTAATGTTTTTCTAACCATGATGATGATGATAGTGGTAGTCAACTCTCGTAAACACAACGCCACCTACCGTTCAATAGCCATGACCTCGAAATACGGCTTCTGCGTGAGACGCGTGCGCCGCGGGGTGGAAACAACTTTACAGGGGAGTGTCAGTACCCCCACAACGCTAAAACTAGATATTAGAAACTAGCTAAAATGGCAAGCGTTGCCACGTATACCAGCTGATCTGCCTTCTAAAAAAAATAAAACTTTTGTTTCCTTCCATTACTCCCAGATGGCCCTGTCATATTTCACGCAGCGCCTCCAGACAGAACGATTCGACGTCTTTCGCATTGAAGCGTGCAGATACGCAGCCATTTTGTTTTCTTGCTGCCTTGGTGAAACGCGTGCCACGTACGCATTGAGTCTGCCAAATTTTCGAGTCTGGTCCACTGGTTTATTCTTTGAGATGAGATGGATGTCATCCCAAGAGCTCTTCACAGCGAAGAATATTAAGACTGAATGATCATGTCAAATTGTGTAAAAAAAAAGATGTACCGATGTACCGACACACTAACGTTTTATTAAAATTGTTTTTGGCCTCGTACCGGGCACGAGAAACGGACGCGGCCCAGGTTTTAGAACCTTCGTTTCCGAAAATGTCCTTCCGCTATCAAGCGGGGGCGAAGTGCCCAACCAACGTCGTGTCCAAAGACAGACTCAACTGATCCGACAATGTTCTAAGCAAGTAATCTTTCACATCATCCGCAGCTAAAGGTTAAATGAGTTTGTGTTTTCTGCACTGAGAAGGGGGCAATGACGCCTCATTGGACCGCATAACTACACTGGTTATTACAAATGGCAATAGTGAATGGTATAGTGCAGTGACCTAGAATACTAGTTAAGAGTTCCACATAGAGCAGAGCACGAACCTAGAATACTATTGGTCCCGTAATCGTGTCTTGGCGCTGTTTAGGATTCTACTTGCGCAAAAAAAAAAGAAAGAAACTACATGCGCAACCACATCCTGTTGTAAGTTCTCTGGCACGCGTGGAGGACATACCTAACTAATGTGGCGCAAACACATTAAATCCAAGTCTTGTTGCCGTCCGTCCTATTCACGTAGCCAAGATATGTGGATGATTGACGATGTACGTGTATTAAATTAAGAAGTGCACAATAAGTGTCTACGAAAATGCATGGCTAAGGTAGAAGGTAATTGGGGCTACGTCATCAGGCCCTTGTCCTTTCACGGGCCCCGGGCCCTCGTGACTATAGTTGAAATATGGTTGCTGAGCGTGTCTGCACAATGCACCACATTGGAGCCGAAAAAGCACGGCCGATGCCCTCACTTCTCCATCTATTCGGAAGCCTGTGTGGTGTGCCCATGCAGCACTTCTATTAATTGTGAATTTGATATGATCTGATACTTACCACTTACGTGTGGGCGCGTAAGTCAATAAAAATTAATAATATTACGTAAAAATGTTAACAAATTGGTTGCCGAAACTTATAAATGTCACGTACTTTTTACTGATCACTGAGCTTAACATACGGACTTCGACAATTCGCTGGTACTCTGTTTTCAAGCTCTAAAAATTTGTCGTCTTAAACCAGTAATATCCATGAACTTATGGTAAGTGATCTTTTTTTCCCCACACAACCAGGTCTTATGTGCAATGAAGATTCTACGGAAAGATGAAATCTGGGAGGAAGAACCAGAATTCAAGGTGGGTATACATGATTTGCCTCAGTTATGAGACAATGATACACGAAAGCACGCGGTTTAAAATTCGTTTGTCGGAATCGTGTATATATGAATGTTATTTACATAATATCGACGCGAGTAGATTGAGTCCATGCGCGTTCAAGCCGAGTCACCATTCGAGTGGACGAGTCCAACCCGACGGCGTTCATATGGGACCGGCCGCATAGCTTTACTACGGGAAGTTCCCACTGACCAGTGAAAAAAATACTGCGCATTTCTCTTCCGAGTTTGCACATTTTATTTCCTGCCTCGTAATATTTTCAGCCCCTCGGTCACCGCTGAAAGGAGGTGCTGTAGGTAGGCAGTGCTCACCGACCAAGTAACCTTTTGCTCGAAACTGTGCTGCATTAAGTGAATGAAGGAACGATTTCCTCACTGTGCTAGCGATTATGTAGGTGATTGATTCTTCTTTACTTGCAATTGCGAATGGGTGGAGCTAAGTGCAGCAAAAGGGGCTAGCTATTACTTGGCTCTCTCGACAGAAAATGCTTCAAGTGAAGAATTCTAAGCTCATCATAAGCAGGCAACTCATGATTTAACTGTAAACTGCATCTACATCACATTGCAATACCAGTGTCTTGACGATGGCACAACCAATAGTTGCAGTTTCCTACAGGGTGTTTTTCGAATGTGATGTCAGCTTTTGGGACGCGACTGGTACGCTTATGCGAGGACCTGATAGGTCCTTCTCTTGGAAATAAACATTCAAAATTAAAACGACATGAGAGAGGGTTCGAAATCTCTATATACTCCCTGTCTGGATCAACCCTTGGAGTCAATACGCTTATTGGGGTGTAGTAGGAAGCAAAACAGGGTATCAAACAGACAGATTGTCTATACGTTATTTTTACGGTTTATAACCGCAATTTTAAGCGAACAAAGGCTGCTTTCAAATTTATCATCCGTGGCAATGTCAAAGAGCCGCCCACTTGGCGATTACGTATATACTCGAACTCACGGGGCACTGTTTTTCGCATGTTCCAGGGTGTGAAGGCGCGGCCATTCGAGATGTCCTTCTTGGAGTGGCATCCCCCTCACGTGCTCCTTGTCGGGTCTACGGGAGCCTTCGCCGCATCCAGCGTTGCTTGTGTGGTGGGCTACTGCGTATGGAAGGCAGTCACCGCCATGCGGAGCTCATAGACCATCCAGCTGAGAAGCATTCTCAAATGCGTACGGGTTCTTCCTCAGAAGGGCCTTATCCACAGATGGCGAATTCACCGCTGAATATGCACTACCGCAGAGCATTAGACCTCATCAATATACGCACGTACCCGCAGTGGTCTATGAATAAGGCTCTCAAGAGTACTCTCTTGTTCGAGCCAGATTTGCGATGCCACTCTGACGTCAGAGGCGCATGATGGATACCAGGTGACGTCTAACGTGTGACGGGTCTGACGTAGCTTCTCATGCTGCTGAAATTTTGAGGTACCGGTAAAAGAGTTCTTCGACGTGGTTGCTGGTACCGCTGTTGGCGTACCAGACCTAGTGCAGCGTCGCCCCGCGTGAAAGAGAAGGCTTGCCCACACTTGCTGGTTTACTACCCTACGCAATGACGCCACTGACAAAATCGCAAAGCTGCTTCCAAAAGACGCCACGATCTTTGTGGAACAGAGGGTACGAAAATTTGGCTTTGCTAGCACCACGGAGCTAACGCGGAGCCATTTTCTCCTGGAGCGCTGCGAACCGGTTGTGTGCAAAGTGGTGGTGCCAGTAGAGTAGGCATCGCTTTGGCATTCCATGTCCGACCATGCTATAATTTTTAATAATATTGTATTTCATACGCTAATTGCACATTAAGGGGCACGTCATGTTGCACTCACGACCGTTTTAAGTGTGAATACACTTTATAAGCGATTCCAAACCATCCACCGCCGTCGGCGGCGTCCGCAGTCTTCTCTCTATCTTTAAAAGAAAAGACTTGGCGGGCCGCAGCGCGACGCTCTACCGAATAAGCCACCGACGCGACGCTGATATCCCCCTTCGCTCGCTCCTCCGCTCTCCCCGCTCGCTGCAGCGGCGCGCGCAACCTCTCTCTCGCGTGCCCGCCTTCTCTCTCAGTCTCCCGACGAGAGCGGGTCTTGCGAAGGATGTCCCGGAGGCAACGCTACCATCAACAACGAATGCAGTACAACCGAATGCCAGCACTGCACCCGTCGTTGGAGGTGACGGTACCGTGGTGGTTTCGCCGACGTTGGAAGACAAGGCGGCACTACGAAGGGCTCGTGCGACCGAACGTAAGCGGGCGAAGCGTGCAGCGCATGCCGAAGTGCGTGCTCGCGAGGCCGAGGACGAGCGGGCGAACCGTGCAGCGGATGGTGAATTGCGCGCTCGCGAGGCCGAGATGAGCGTCAGCATCGAGCCGCGAACGCGGCCCAAAAAGCGGAACGACAACGCAATCGTCAGGCGGAGAAGGGCGATGAAGGCCGGCGTCAAGACGCCGCTCGCAATCGTCAACGTCGAGTGGACGTTCCGAAGCCGTTCGAGCCAGTGAACGTGCCGCGCGGGAGGGGGTGCGAGCCCTGGACTTTCCTCGTCCGGGGCTCGCATGCTATGAAAGTTAAAATTCGTTGGCATTCGCCCGTAAGTTAACGTAAACTCCCCCGTGTGATCGAATTACGATTCCCAGGAACCATTACACCATAAAGGCACCATAGTGTGAATAATAAATATAATAGTGCGAATTAATAAAACCCCTCATAGCATCACCCCATGCATTCGCACTTAACCATGTTCAGCCTCGGAGAAATGCTTGGGAGTTCTTGCTAGCTTCACATATGCCGAATTCGGTGTTACGTGACGTCAATGAATGATGAAATATGACTCGTGCAAACATGATAACACGCGTGTCATGTAAGAACATGACAACATACCACGCTCATAGCGTGCTCGCGGCTGTTTTGCTAGCTCCACATATACTAAGCGTGGTATCACGTGACGATTAGATGACGAAGGTAAGCGACACATTCAAACATGATAATTATTACACGGAATTCATGTACGGCATCATTTACCCCCACCTCGTAACGTTGTGCTGATTTTAAAGTGACATATCACATTTCTCATTCGTGCTTCGCATATCATCGGTCCCACTGTACGTGAGATCTGCCAATTTTTCTTGACCTACTTTCCGAATGGGTGGTGGTCACTGAATTGAAGAAGCGCAAACCTTATGATATTAATATTTAGCATTTTATTGGCTCTTTGATTCACAATCCGAAGTATTGAAATGTTATAATATGCAGAGTACCTGCTCAACCCCCCCCCCCTCTCCCGCTCACCGATGATATTGGTGAAATTTCACGCCCCCGCCCCCAGAAATCCAGATGATGCTATGTAGGTTTCGATGACGCAATAGCCGTGCTTGGCCAAACACAGCCATGCCTAGGAATCCGGGTGCGCTAGCAGCATAATTGTTATAATTGGGCACTATACTATTATAGTTGCAGTGAACTTTTGCTTTACAAAACGTGGGAATCCAATCATTGGCAGAATTGCAGGGGAAATGGAGGTTGAAGAGATTCAGAAATTGTGAGCACGGGGCCGACATTTCGACCAACGGACTCATTTTCGTCAAAGCAGCAATGCCTCTTGTTTCCTCTTAAAAAGAACCTGAAACACTGCTTCAAGTAACCGTGGAATGAATTCATTTTAAGAGCTTATTGCCTCACGAATTCAACTAGGAGATAAAATTAACAAGTGTTGTTTGGAAAGAAGAAAAGGGTTATTCCGAGATCAGGATCTAGCGAGTGTGTTCTGTGTCATTTCTTTTATAGTCAAGAAACAAATGATACAGAATAGTTGCACTGTCTCCAAAAGAGCCGCTTTCGGAAGAAACGCACACAGTCACACCGTATAGAGCAAGAACACGTGTATATTTATTAACAATTTATGTCATGGCGCGAGCTCTTCAGCTGAATCCAATTAATAACTTGTACCCAATATAATGTCGGTATTATACCCAAAGATCATAACCACACAAAACAATGCAACACGTATACGGTATACTGCGAAGACGGTGTCGCCGACTCACTCCGGGGGCCGTGGTTACGAGCCGCAGCTTCGCACCCACGGGCACTCGCTGGAGCCGATCGTCACCGACCACGCCAAGCCGCAAAAGACTTATTGTGATAACCCTCATTAAGGTGGTGACGCCAAGGGGCGGCTTTCAGCTCTCCCATAGTAGAGTACCGAGTACTCTGAATTGTTAAGCACTTTTTCCAAACACACAGGGCTCTTCCTCACGAACTCCGCTCCTGCCAGGCGGCGCTTATGACACCACCGCACGAGCACAGTACCACCTCTTTCTCAGCGGCTTTTAAGCTAAATAATCCTACAGCTACACTAACTAATAATGCGCTGTGTTCTTTTTAAATGCGAAGCATTTCTTAGCGAATTTTGGTGACTTTGAGCGTATCTATCTATCTATCTATCTATCTATCGATCTATCTATCTATCTATCTATCTATCTATCTATCTATCTATCTATATCTATCTATCTATCTATCTATTATCTATCTATCTATCTATCTATCATCTATCTATCTATCTATCTATCTATCTATCTATCTATCTATCTATCTATCTACTCTATCTATCTATCTATCTATCTATCTACTATCTATCTATCTATCTATCTATCTATCTATACGCCTACGACTTTCAGCTCTCCTGGCCGTTTCGATAATGGTATCAATACCAAACTTGTATATGGCATAACATGACTGCATGAAGAACATATTTGAATAGTCATAACATGAATGTCATGATTTACATTTCATGGTCCTGCAGCCCTTGCGGTGGTATCGTTCACATGACATGTTGCAAAGCTGGTATGGTATAGCATGATTGCACGGCGAACGCAAGCGACAGACCCTAACATGAAAATCATGACATGCGTGTCATGTAAGTACATGACTACATGCTACGCTCATGATGCGCTCGCAGCCGTTTCGCTAGCTTCACTTATACCAAAGTCGGTATTAAGGGACGTGAATAGATGACGAAGGTATGATACTGGTGCAAACATCGAAACATGAGATGCGTGTCATGTAACAACATGACTACATCCTAAGCTCATGATGCGCTCGAGGCCGTTTCGCTAGCTTCACATATACCAAATTGGTATTACGTAACGCCAATGAATGAAGAGGTATATGACTGGCGCAAACAGAGAATCATGAGATGCGTGTCATGTGAGAACATGACTACATGCCACAGTCAAGGCGCCCATACATTTTGACGTAACGCGGTGCGCGAGCTCACCGGTGTTGCCACGTCAGGCACCGGTCCTCTCGCAGGCGCGCGCTGCGAGTCGTTGCTTGGACGCACGCGCGTTTCAACGCATCCGGCGTCCCTCCGTCACAAAAAGGGGAGACGCAGTTTCGTCTAGGCAGCGCCTGTCTAGGTAATGCATCGGCGCGAAAAGGAGCATGTCGCATTTCGCGCCGGTTGCCGTCGGGCCACGCCGAGCGCTAGTCGTCAGATTATAGAGTGATCGCGTTTTCCTAACGTAGCCTCGCTGTGCCCAGCCTGCTGCGCGTCACGCTACATTGGAGTATTCATTGGGCCCGTCATGATGCACTCACGACCGTTTTAAGTGTGAATACACTTTATAAGCGATTCCAAACCATCCACCGCCGTCGGCGGCGTCCGCAGTCTTCTCTCTATCTTTAAAAGAAAAGACTTGGCGGGCCGCAGCGCGACGCTCTACCGAATAAGCCACCGACGCGACGCTGATATCCCCCTTCGCTCGCTCCTCCGCTCTCCCCGCTCGCTGCAGCGGCGCGCGCAACCTCTCTCTCGCGTGCCCGCCTTCTCTCTCAGTCTCCCGACGAGAGCGGGTCTTGCGAAGGATGTCCCGGAGGCAACGCTACCATCAACCGAATGCAGTACAACCGAATGCCAGCACTGCACCCGTCGTTGGAGGTGACGGTACCGTGGTGGTTTCGCCGACGTTGGAAGACAAGGCGGCACTACGAAGGGCTCGTGCGACCGAACGTAAGCGGGCGAAGCGTGCAGCGCATGCCGAAGTGCGTGCTCGCGAGGCCGAGGACGAGCGGGCGAACCGTGCAGCGGATGGTGAATTGCGCGCTCGCGAGGCCGAGATGAGGCGTCAGCATCGAGCCGCGAACGCGGCCCAAAAAGCGGAACGACAACGCAATCGTCAGGCGGAGAAGGGCGATGAAGGCCGGCGTCAAGACGCCGCTCGCAATCGTCAACGTCGAGTGGACGTTCCGAAGCCGTT